CTTCCAAGATCTTCTTATAATGAAGTCACACAAGATGCATTTAATTTCTTCAGTAACTGCTTGTGGCAACATGAGTTAAGATGTCAACCGGGGAAGTTCATTAGAGACTCAGCCAAGGTTGTTATTGGGGGCTGGTCACATAGCCACTTTCTGCCTAGCATGTACCAGCATTCCCGACTTTCAGAATGAAAGCAGGTGTTCAGCATAAACCATATGGTTGGTACAAATAGTTTGGGCCCAGTGAGCCACTTTTATCAGGTTTGGTAAGAAACTCCAGAAATCCAAGTTCCTAGGTGTCAGCCAAGGGCTGACTTTGAATCCTTTCTAAGGAGAGCAGTCTCAGGCTTGCTATGGCAATGCTGCTCTGTACACGTGTGGGCCCCTGCCCCCTGAAGGGTCCCCACTCAGTGTGAGAGTCACAGGCTCAGCCCCCCACTTTGTCATGGACTCAAGGCTCATTGTGCTGAGACAATGACACTGGGAGTGTCCACCCTTAGGCCACCAAGCTTTGTCTAGCTCATGAGTTCTGTTGGCTTCTTGGGGGTGAATTGAGCAGGGTGCTTGGAAAACTCCCTCACTGCTATGTGTCTGGAAATTCATCAAAAAGTGTGTCTTATCAAGAAACTGAGTGCTCCTTAGCACAGAGTAGTAGGAAGGCTCCTCAGAGCACCTAATTTATTATGTGTCATAAATAAAAGTCCTTTATATTTGTTTTTTAAAGAATTTTTAAAACTCTCAAGAAGAATTCCTAATGTCAATTGTCCAGGCTAAAAAATAAACCTGAATGTTGGCAGGTTGCCATCCACTGAACAGAAACTTTTGAAAGGGATAGGGCACACAGAAACAAAACAGAGGAGGAGGGTGGGCAGTGAGACAACTGGTTATATTTTTGCGAGGCCCAGGAAATCTGTATCTTACATAAAATAAGACAAATGTAAGAAGAGAAAAAGGGAATGAAGGAAGCATCAATTATGTAGATGTCCCTGGGGAGGTGGAAGAATGTTTGATCTTGTTTCTGTT